GAAATTCTTGGAGGGAGTACGCAGCGCAAATACGAAATTACAATTAGCAGAAATCTTACCTTGAACAAAATCCAAAGTGTCACGAAGTACATTAGAGCTACGTAAGTAGGTTAAAACTCTACACGGTGGAAGTGTAATTACTTAATCGATTTGTTTTATTTGTATCAATACATACAACGGTAATTCAACGTGGTAAATTGTGTATTACACAGCGACTGACTGCCTTGTTCCAAGTGTCCATAGCAACTCGCTATAAAATTTCAATTTATCATATCACAAGCCCACAGCAATCCCTCATCATCCCATCAGCAAAGCTTATTCTATAATTACTATCTCAAGAGCGCACTTATTATTATTATTATTAGTGTTCTGTCTGACGACAGGTCCATATGAACAGGATCCTTCCATCCTTTTCTCGGACTGGGACCTGTTCATATACGTTCTTGGCAGATGATCCAGAAGTGGTTTGTCATTGCCTTCTTCTGTGTGTGAATGGAGTAATTGGTGGGGTGCCACGGAGAAACCGGGGAAGCCCCCGGAGGAAAACTCCGTGTTGCCTAGACCACGGCCTTGCCCAACACAAGTCATAAATTCGGGCACCGCCGGGAATCGAACCCGAAACCCCCCAGGATTACAAGGCCAGCGTTCTAACCGCTAGACCACCGTGGCGGTAAGAGCGCACTAAGACCAAACAAACCTGCTGAGTGAATGACCCTGAGGTTAAGAACGTCTCCCACCGACTACTATCTTAGCAAAGCAGATCACCTAGTCACAACCACTTCACCCATAAAGTACCTTAATCACCTAACAGAATCGACACTCGCCACCATCATGAATTGTGACAAAGGTCGGCGTCCTATTAAATAAGTCAAACGTGGAGTGATGGTTCGATTATAACTGGATACGAAATCCCCACCTGTTAGTTTCAGGTAATCCAAAGGTCAAGCATAAAATTCTTGAGAACGCCCTGGAATACAAATATTTTCTAGTTTGTAATTTGTCATAGTAATTAGTGGAACTTCAACGTCTAACCATCAGAGCTTCCTCCGATTCGGATTCTTATAAAACTCGGTACGAATGACATGACAACTTGGTAGTTTATAACTTCCTGTCATTAACGGCGTTCAAACTTATAGGGCGAAAATAACTTGTCACACAAGTCGCTAACGGTTTTATGAAACGTTTGTTCGATCGTTCCAGAAATTCTGCTTAATTTTTCTCTGAGGAATTTCGTGGCATTCTGTCACGATGCTGGAACAATACCTTCAGATAACCAAAAAACTGTCGCATTTCTTCCAACTCATCAGGCACGGATCTCCATCACTATTGATAGAGAGTGAGACAATTTAGAAACCAACACATATCCATTAACGACTGAAGAATATTTCAAATATGAGAAAATATTTTTGTACTTTTCTGTAAGGATGTAGGCTATTCCCCGAACAGTTAAAAGAAAATAATTCCAGGCATATGGTGACTGTCTTCTTGGATATTGCACCGTGTTGTCTGGCAGAAGTTCACTTTCTGCCTCCTTCATCATGGCAGTGCCATACACGGCGCAATATCCCAAAAGACAAGTCATCTTTATACTCGTCGCAGTAAATACATGAAATCTCACCATTTCAGGTATTTTCAGTGCTGAATTCAATACAATGTTTTAGGTTAAACACTGATGACAATCATTTCTTCGACTGTTTTGTCAAATAAAAACACTCGATTACCAAATAAGTCTTCAGTTATCTTTCAACAAAATGGCGCTCCATCAGAGAAAATTCTTGCCACAGCAATTACTAGTTGGACAGATAGATCAAAATAATTTTTTGGCCGACAACTGGCTCCCCATTTCATATCACGTGACTGCATATGAACAAAGTGTGTACATAATCTGAAAATCATCTGACAGGTGTTTATAACGATCACCATTCAAAAGTTTTAAAGAGCATTCACCACAACAGAACTAGGTGTCACGCATTCAAAAGTTAATCTGACGTAGATCTAATCGTTTGCCAGAAAATTTCTTGTCGACGAGGGAAGAATATACCCCATCTGACCATTGATTACCGGTAGCAAACTTCAGAAACGCTGTCGTCTTAACCGGTGACGTAAGCCAGAGATCAGTAACTTGCTTGTCGCGGGTCGCATGTAGTCCCCGCAACATTTTTATGAGCCCTTTCCATGATTTTGATATCGGCCAACCTGAGCGAGCAAACATTTTCTGGTCATGAGGATCACTGACATACTTAACTATATGTAATCTAAACGTGCATACAATCTAAAAATATTTCATAAAGCAAATGAAATTTTAGATGTGGGCATAAAAATTTCGTTATTGAGCAAAGGTATATCGGTTCGTTGTTCGAAACACATAAAATTTAGCAGAAAATAAATATTACTGGGGTATTATTGCCTAGACATTTATAAAATTAACTACTTGAAATCTCAAGTGTCTGACAGCCAACAAACGTCTTTATAAGAACCTCAGTTGTATGGAGAACAGAGCTACAATCCTCCTTCAAGTGAACACTAGTTTCACTCTTTATTTTAAAGAAATTAAGGATTATCCTGTCGCTTACTGTCTTGTGTATGTTTGTTGTTTTAAAATGAAAGTTTAATATGATATATATAATATAATATATATAATAACAGGGCAACAATTTATCACTTTTTTCAGTAACATGGACAATTTTCAATGTTATTTACTAATTTTGGGGCGCTGATTTCAAATATGACCTTGAAAAACACCTAACACGTAAGATTTCTTTGATACGTTAATTTTTACTTTTTCTCGTTTCCGTATACAGTACAAAGTTTAGCCTACTACTAATGTCATTTGTATGGGTTTGTTTACAAAGCTGCTGGTAGTTTTCTTCCTTTCACTTTCCAAGGAAACCTTTCACCACAGACACAAAAGATTTCCACTCTGCGAGCTCTTTAGCAGAAAGTCTGGATTCAAAATTTCCATCGTCCAACAGTTTTCTGATCTGAGGCCCGACAAAAACTCCTTCTTTCAACTTGGCATCACTAAGATTCAAAAAACATTCCCCC